TTATCACATATATTCACACAATTTCTATAAGAACACTTATCTGTTTTATGATTCTTACGACCGCAAACGGAGCATTTGGACTGTGATGGTGGATCCGTACAAATTCCCCTCTTTGAGCTGCCACCTCCTGATCCCGAATTGCCGCCGCTCGTACTTGCTGGACTGTTGTCTCCACAGTTGTTTTTCCTTGACGATGACGCTCGGAATGGAAGAGGTCTCTTGTGCTCAGAAGATCTGGACTTGTTATTCATGTAGTATATTTCCGGTTCCATCTTGACAGTCCTGTTGTAATTTTGTGCAACCGTACTTTAGGAAGGCGCAACTTCTATGATTTCAGCAAAAGTCACTGTTTCCTTTCCTTCATATAGCCTATCCTTCATTCGACCCAAGTCATAGCCGATGATAAAACGATTTACTAAAGCCTTATTAATTTCCTCAGTTCCAGAAAATTTGCAATTTGCCACTAATGATCGCAGTCTTGCGGCCCACTCTTTTGGAGATTCATTGGCGACACGCAAAAACAGACACTACCGGTTGCAAATAATTGTCCATGAATTTCACAATATCTTCGTAAGATTTTGTTTCAGGTTCTTCTGGAATGATCATATTGAATAGTAGCTGATATGCCTCTTCATTCAATAAACTTAAAAGAATGGCACGTTTCCGTTCACTTTTGTTGATACTATTTGCTGTGAAATTATTGTTCAACCGACGTTTATAAATCGACCAATCCGACGTAGCAGGATAGAATTTCAGAATATGTCCCGTATACTGTACAGCTTCCGTCATTTTATCGACTCGGGGTTCACTGCTGAGCGTAAAAAAATTAATTTGCACTTTTTATCACTCAGAATATCCTCGTCGCCACTTGTTATGTATTCAACTCAAATAAAACAATTGCTTATTTTCCGATCTTTATTCTGTCGCTCACCTAGACATACTGCTCATCGATTCCTAGATGATATATAAAAAAGTACTATGTACAGAGTGCCACACTAATAAACTATATACAGGATGTCACAGAAGACAATATTTTTTCAATTCACCACCCGCATGTCTACAGTAATTGAGTGGATTTTTTAGGAACATAGTCAACATCACTATGATAATTTCGGAAATCTCAACTTTCGGAAACAATATATAGGGTGCTCGGTAAAACCGATCAAGTTTGATTCATTTTCAAACAAACATAATTCAACTTTTTCAAATGGAACACCCTATATTTTTTCATATGTATGAAAAAAACTGATATTTTACAAATTATACCCAATTTTATTAATTGTTGTAATCACAAACATTCATTTTTTTACGTTCACTTACTCAAAATGTTTTCAATATGAACAATAACGCCTGAATTTTTAATGAATAGAAGAGTCCAAAATATGTTCGAAATGTCGACCATTTTCTTCAACACATAATGTCAGAATTTTTTTTCACTGAAAGCTCTAGTGATTCTTCGTTTCATGTCTTCTATAGATGTTGGAGGAGTTTGGTAGACAATCCATTAGATCCATAAAATCCACAAAAAAAGTATTTTTGGTCAGGTCAGGTGACCTGGGTGGTCACGCCACAGGTCCACCCCTACCTATCCATTTTTTATTGAAAAAGTCGTTGAGGTATTCCCGTATCTCAGTTTAAAATGTGGTGGTGCACCGTCTTATTGTAGTAACATTCTGAGTCTTGTTCCATATGATGACCACACGGATTGAGAATTAATAGGCAACTTGGTCAACAGCTGAATTTTTCCTACCTTCTAATCCTCGTGGAGAAATGGCTTGGTTATGCCACCAATTATATCCTCAGAGACTGGATTCGGCCACGGCTTAAATGCGTGGTCTTTTAGGGGTTTGAGGGAATGAAATGATATTAGCAGAGTTTTCACAAACCAACTTTATTAATGAGTAAAGTTGGCGGAATAATCGGATTAACACTTGAAAAAAAATAAAATTAACAAAATTCAATACTGAAGTTTAACCTACACAAAATATAAATAAAAGAATAGTTTCAATATTATTTACTGAACGTTATTTACACTATATAAAAGAAAAAGAAATATATAATTATAACCATGAGAAAACTATGGATAACTACTAAAACGAAATGAAGGGATTATTCCTCTGAAAATTGAAGTAACTTCACTCAGGACATAGGTATGCCTTGCCTGAATTTTACTAGATATGCTATAAAACCAACTAAAATACAACTCTGAGAAACTATCAAGAGACCCACTTAATCGCTCCTCCCTGTATAACGTAGGAAATTACTATAACCTATAATAACCTAATAAAAGGAAAAGGGAACCCGATTCGTAGCTATATTATAATGGTAAATGTTCACTAATACCCTAGGTGCCAAGTCGAAAATATAACCCACATACGCATGCAATAACATCTACACTATATATCAGAATTGTTAAGGATACGCTCACCAAAATTATCGTAGACGGACTCCACTATTTCCCCAAAAACTCTTACCAGGAACTCAAAAAATCTCTAAATCACTAAATTGAATAAACCCGCGAATACTCCCAAAACCCAATTAGTATCACTTCTCTAAACAGTGACTTGAAATATCTCAATATTTCAATTCACTCAAAATTTCCTCTAGAATTTCCAGCTACTGTAGGAAATTCAACTGGATTCACCAAATCTCCGCGCACCCACTGACTTAAATCTTTTCAAAAAATCTCACCACCTTAACTCTGTTAGGGGATGTAATCAATGTTATCTCAGAAAATTCTAACCAATCGGAAAGTCTGAAATTGTTTCTAATACTGGTACTCTTATCGCCACCTCATAGTCCGGCGAATAAGTCCGCAAGAATTCACGCCTAGTTCCCGACATTTCTAATATCGTGAGTCTACTACTGATATATAGATGTCACTGCAAGGGTCAATTTTGATATTTTTGCTGTCTTGATTAAAACATATGTAGATTAACTTGGGTGGCTTAATTTTATCATGTCGGTAAATTTTGAGCTCATAAGATAAATTGCGATATTTATTATACATTTGAGTGCTTTCTGACTTTTATTCTAAATGGGGTATACAGACTGGATGACATATTTTCGACCCTTAACGAAAGATAATGAAATGAATTATGACGTTGGATGTTTCAAAATATCGAGCATCAAGCAGTTAATTTTAACGACTTTTCCTTTAAATGGCTTGGCTCTGTTGGCCTTAAGGTTATTTCTGAAAGATTATAAGGTTCCCTTTTTATACGAAAACATATGTGTTTTGGTATCTAAAATTCAACGAAAAATATAATATATCCAACTTATTACAATACTCCCTCTTTTGAAAAAGTTTTGGCTTAATTGCCATAACTTTTCTCGCTTCATGCTTACTGACAAATATAACAACGCCAACGCCACCTCATGTCGAATTCAAATATGAAAACAGAATAGGTATCACCTCAAGTTACGCGACTTTCAGTGGGGTTGTCCAGCATGCTATGAATAGGGTTTCCCTAACGAAATATTATTCCAAATTTTACAAAAAAAAGTCATTGAAATAGGAGTGAATGTATCTCCTTGTATACTATAGTTCGCGTTATCACATCACAACTCACGATTCACTGTAATCTTTTACGCCTTGGTGAATTTCCATCTCAATAATTTCCATATGATATGCTACTCTTTATTGATCAACGGCACATTATTCTAGATACGATTCGAATAGATTGAATTCAGATTGAATTCAATCTACAAAGATCCTAAGATTTCATCCTACAACTTTGTACCTCACTGATAGAAAAGTATTTTGGTTCAGTCACTCAAGCTGCTTCGTTAATGTCTTCGTTCACAATGCAGTGTGTCTGGGGCAAAACAGGGTAACCGCCAGTGATATGATGGGCAGTCTGCTGGGGTTCTGCGGTGATTGGCAATGACGTCGTCGGTTCATCTGGTTGGGCTTCTCTGGAACGCTCCAGTTTAATTACACACCAGGTCAGGTTATCGCCTATAGAGTAGGTATTTCGCAACTCGAAATATATAATAACCGCCAATTAGTCTCTCGCTCGGATCCTCACGTCGACTAAGAAAGCCACATCCTTCCAGGTTCGTCCATTTTCATGGTAGGTTGTTCCTTCGCAGGTGCAGGTACTATCCACTGATCCCAATATTATTAATGTGGCGCTGATCGAACAATTCAAGGTTATTTGTCCAATAACTAACAGGATCCCAACAGGTATAGTTTCAACGTTCCGTAACTGTCTACATAACTCGACAGTCCTTTTTCCACCAAATAAGTCTGACTATGCATCTCACGGTGATGCATCAATCTGAAGTCGCTCAAGTACGCAGATTCTCGTTCTGGACACTTACTAACGTCTCTGAGAGATACAGTCGAAATGTTCACTCTCTCATCCCTGCAACCGTACGCGATCATCCTGATTACCGATACAAAATAATGCCTGACCAGCAAGATAGCAATCATTAGGAAAATCGAGATCGTGCTGCCTTTTTCCATCTCATTGCCAGGGATTGACGAAGGGTGTATAGACGCTCCAATTTAGATTAACCATCGATCATTTATAATATGGTAAAACAATAATCAGCACATTCATTAAGAAAAGTTGAGACTACAATAAACTAAAAGGAAGTGAAAACAAAATTCACTTGATACGTCATCTACTGTCAATCCGGGTCAAAGATAGACACTAGTTCGACGAACACATCAATAACTTAGCTTGAAGAGAGTTTACCCCGGGCTCTTCAAGTAACGGCACTCCTCTGATTTGCTCAAATGCATTCTCATCATTATACTTTCTTTCCTGTCCACCCCCAGTCGTTCATCTACTCGTATCGTACATTCATCTCACTCATTAATTTCACTCTCCATCATTCAGTTCTCATTCCCTCAGCTACATTCTCTTACAGGTTCAGTGGATCTGGTTCTCTACGAATCCGAGCGGATCTCCTCAAGGGTTGGGGTTCCTCTATACCTTCCTCTACATCAATATTTTCTTCCTCAGTCGCCGCTCAGTCGCCGCTATCCACTAGGGAAGAATTGGGATTCTTTTCTCGTTTTCCTCTTCCTTACGTCCATTTCTAGACGTCCTCCCAGAACTATTCGTCATCTCCTCTTCATCGTCGCTATTATTACTTTCCTCGGAATCATCCCCTTCAACAGTATAGGTTGAGTATGACTTCAGCCAATTCACGTGTACTACCTGTTCGTCTGTTTCACTTACCTTCTTCACTCGATAGGTCACTGGACCTATTACCTCTATAATCTTGTATGACCCTATCCAGGGCTTCACGAGTTTCTTTGATATACCGGGCTTAACGTGCATTCGCAAGAGATACACTTGATCTCCGAGCTCATACGTCCTCTCCCTATGTTTTTGTTGTAATGCTTTGCTCGTTCTTCTTTGGTCTTTTCCGATGTTTTCAATACTCGCGAGTACACTTCTTTCAGTCTGGCAGCTAGCTCCGAAGCATAGTTTTCTGCACAGTCGTATCTGATTCATTGCGGTCGAATAAAGTCTTCCACAGGCAACACTTGCTCACGTCCATGCAGAAGAAAGAATCTGATGGAAATATGAACGTTCCCGCAGTAAGCCATCAGTACCACCGGAATCCATGTGTCCCAGTCGCGTTGATTATCTGCTATATAATGTGATAGCATATCTTTCAACACTCGGTGCATCCGTTCAATTTGACCATTCGATGTCGGTGCATAGCTCGAAGTTTGGATCTTCTTGATATCCAACATTTGACAGACAGCCTTAAATAGGCCAGACGTAAAGTTTGCCCCTTTGTCAGTTGAGAGCATCCTAGGCGTTCCATATCGGTACACGATGTGTTCCACGAAGGGTCGTGCAATAATAATCGTCTTTATTCATCGACATAATATAAAAAATGAAATACAAAAATTTAGAACAATAATTGAGGGTCAATGAAAAGGTGAAGTATCAGCCTAGGCTGCTTTTCAACTTAACCTAACCGATTTTTGGTCTGGAAGGGGAATAGCTTCCACGTACTTCGTAAAATAATCTTGGAACGTTAATTGGTAGCGATTTCCATCCCAAGATGTCACTAAAGGTCCTACTATGTTCATAGACGTCAGTTCCCAGGGTTCATAAGCCGTCGTGAACTTTTGAAGAGGTGCCTTTCTATGATGTGGTGAAGTTTTTCGCTTATTACAAGATTCGCAAGCTGCCACATAATTTGATATTACCGCCCTCATATTCGGCCAATAAAATCTCTTCTTGATACTCCACAACGTTTTTTGTTGCCCCTGATGTCCGGCCATAGGCATATTATGAAAATCTTCAAGTACCTTCTTCATCATTTCCTTGGGGACTACTAGCTTTTCTTCTCCATCTTCTTCAATTCTATACAGTATTCCGTCTTTATCTGTATAGAATTCTTGTTTTCCTTCCTCTGCATCTTCCAGTTGGGCTATCACGGATTGACAAAATTTAATCACGACTTTGTGCCCTCTCCACAGTTTCTCGATCCCAAACTGGTTCTATAACTATATTTTCTTCTACAATCCAGATAGGTTTGTCTATAGTGCCCCTGTCGTCGTACACTCTGATTTCCATGTCAGATCCGTACCAAATGAATTCAATCATTTCCACCACTTTTTCCCATTCCAGTCCGTCCAAACCACATCCCAGCTTAGGTATGGCCAGCAATTTATCCTGGTTTCTTTCACAACCTTCTCGGAGTTCTTCAAGACACTCCCATAATGTATGGTAGGTGGGTTTCTCATAGTAGGCACTCTCCGTGACCAGGTAATAAATGTTCCTTTCCGGAAGCGCTAACGTCGCTACTTCCCCTACACCTTTTCCTTGTCCTTTCAGAGACTCCACACCTACAGATCTCTCCTTGAAAATCTTGGCAAGCCCCGCTCCCATAGCTAGATCCTTCGACACGCAGTGAGCTAACGCCCAATTTTCTGGTGAAGTGAACAAATCTTCTTTCCGATACGTCAGGTTCTGGAACCGTGGTATCTTATTTCTTCCTATACTCTTCGAATTCCACGTACTTCACGTCTATGAAGTTTTCCTCTTCATTATACATTCGACTAAGAGCATCGGCATTTCCGTGAAGTTTTCCGGGTCGATGGATAATTTCAAAATCGTACTCCGCCAAGGTAAGTGCCCATCTAGTCAACCTCGAACTCGGGTCTTTCAGAGTCAGCAACCATTTCAACGGTCGGTGGTCGGTGATTACCGGGAATTTCTTTCCGTACACATAAAAACGGAAAGTTTGTATTCCATACATAACTCCAAGTAACTCCTTTTCTGTCGTAATGTAGTTCAATTCTGCCTTCTTCAACTTACGGCTCGCATAGGCAATGGGTCTTTCATACCCATCTCGTAGTTGGCTCAACACTGCTCCCACACCTAGTCCTGACGCGTCGGTCGCCAAAATAAACGGTTGGTCGAAGTCAGGAAAAATCAAAATCGAATCTGACTTCAACACATTCTTCAGTTTCCTTACGGCTTCTAGCACTCCTTCTGTAATTTCAAATTTGACGTTCTTTTTCGTCAAATTGACCAATGGTACAGATATCTCCGTAATATTGGGTATGAATCGGCGGTACCAATTTACTATTCCCAAAAAGGACCTCACTCCCCTGATATTCTTTGGTAGTGGAAAGTTGGCAATCGTCTCTATGGTCTCCGGGTCGGGTAATATACCCTCCTGGGAAAGGATATGGCCCAAGTATTTAACTTTCTCTGACATGAAATCACATTTCTTTGGTTTCAGCTTCACATTAGCCTCGCTCAATCTTTCGAAAACCCTTTCAATTTTTCCAATGTGATCTTTTCCACCTTCAGTATTGAAAATGATGATATCATCCAAATAGACCATACATGTCTCTGGAGTCAACCCTGTGAGTGTCATGTTCATGAAGCTCTGGAAAGTCGAAGGCGTATTCACAAGACCGAATGGCATTTTCATATACTCGTAGTGACCTTGAAACGTACTGAATCCTGTCAACGGTATCGCCTGCTCGTCCATATCTATCTGATTATAGGCTTCGGCTACATCAATAACCGAGAAGAGCATGTTTGTACCTGCTTTGTGTCCTTGAATCAAATACGATATGTTAGAAAGGGGATAGTATTCCTTCTTGGTTACGTTATTGAGTCCTCGGTAGTCGATGCACATTCTCACTTTCTCTTCTCCATTAGGCAGGCGTTTTGTTACCAGTACTACGGGTGCAGACCACGGACTACATGATGGTCTTATAACTTTCAAGTCCAATAATCTTTTTATTTCCCCTTCGAGTACTTCTCGTTGACGATAAGGTATGCGGTATGGAGCTTTACAAATGGGCTGTGCGCCTGGTACCAAGGTCAAGCTATGCTTTACCTTTGTCGTACTAGTCAACTCTTCATCTTCATCCCGAAACAGATGCTTGTATTTTCGAATTAACTTAAATAGCTCTTCTTTGTTCATTTCATCCAAATGATGTAGGTCAAATCCATTCCTCATCCATTCATCGTTAGAAAAATCCAATTTACAAACATTGCTATTAGATGTGTTAACTTGAGGTGATTCCTCACCCACAATAGCTCTACTAAGTTTCTGTCCTCTCTTCAGAATAACCTCTTTCCACGATAAGTTTATGATTTTCACTGGGATTTCTTTTTCATTCCTGACAGTACGGGCTACATGTGCTTGAGAATTTCCTATTTCGAAGGGCTCACAAACTAGGATATCACCTTCTACAGGTACTTTCAGACTTCCTCGTATATACGCCTCTGTCCTTGGGGAAATTACCAGATCCTCCATTGCTACCAGGTCCGATTCTGATACTGGCTCATCTGATGTCTGATTTTCGTCTGGACTGATATCAGACTTACTCTGTTTCGCGTGCGATGGACGCACTCCTGAATCTGTCTTGGAAGTACCGACAGTTTCTCTAAGTTTGGATAACTCTGGTACTCTGACGATTTCATTTTCTAATTCCTGAAGAACAACTCTGCCAGCATCGTTGATTCTGCTGATGACTTCAGTTTTATTTCCGTCATCTTCTGTGTCCGTCGTAAACTTCCTTGTCTCGGCTGCTGCCTCTTCTGTTGTGATACCATAACCCGTTTACTTTCCCTTTTATTATGATTTTGTACATCCGAATTTCCCAATTTCCCTGTATCATAGATTTGATTCTGCCTCCTTGTTTGTCGATGGCCTCCATCCTGGCAGGGGGAATTCAGCCTTAGAAGTTCAAATTGACATTGTCCCCATCTTCCTGCCATGGCCCTGAAAGAGAAGTCGACTGTGATGCTTGTCTAGGTATGGCTCCCGTATTCTGCTTTGCCTCTCTGCTGTTCTCAGCTTCCGCATTTGGTTTTCCATCTCTATTGTATCCAATTACGTTTCTGACCGGCTTCCATGTACGTGGTTGAAATTCTGCAACCCTAGCTCCCCTATAAAACCTATGAAAACCTGATCGACCCCTAGTCTGATTGTTTCTTGAACAATCCCTTGCCCAATGATCTGCTTGTTGGCACAGATAACATCCATTACTATTTTCGAGTTGAAGTCTGCGACAGTCTCTGGAGAAATGACCTGGTTTTCCGCATGAGTAACAATTCCTTCCTAGAAGTGGATTATTTTTGTTCCCATAATTTCTGGAACCTCTATATTCATCTCTATTGTTATCCGTGGTATCGACCCTCAATTACCTAGACCAATGTTCAGAATTTCCACCGCAAGCCTGGCACTAGCCCTGCTTATCTACTGGCGAAATTTTCAAGTTCGCACATCTTCCTTGGACCATCATAAGGGTTGTTTCCTGTAACTTAACTAGCTCCTCAGCCTTCTCCAAATCCAAATTTTTCTCACTCAACAATAAAACGCCAGTTTCTTTCAAAAGGACCTTTCGCAGCCCCACCTTGAATTGATTCAGGATAAGTTCACGATTTTTCCTTTTTATCCCAGCTTTCTCGCCAGCGTCAGCTCCTGCTAAATCTTCCTTTAGTAAGGCAGACCCTAAAATTCTTAACCTAGTACAAAATGACGTCATGTCGTTGAAAACATTTACTTAAATTCCACTGATTTTCGCCTGGTAATTGGAATGGAGTATTTTTTTTTTGAATTTATTCTTAAGATCAGTAAAATTTAACGTGTCCAACTGCGCATCCGATTTAAAATAATTATAGTCGTCACCACCGAGGTTGAATTTAAATAACTGAAGGGTTCCGTCCTCCGACCTATTATCCAGTCTTGCACGCAACTGTAATTTCTCAAAATACCTTATAACCTCCTTTCCTGAAAAATCATCTAAAGTTGCCGCGATCATACCTAGCGAATAGTGGGTTGCCACTCTAACAGGTGTTGGCGTGGGTGTAACCCCTGATACACCTTCTTTATTATTCATTTCGATAATCGGAATGAGTATCGAACTAGAAACTATATATTTTTTGGACTCCTTGCCAAACTTCGAGTAAAATATATATGTATAGGCACAAGTCGGGTTATTTGTAGGGTTCCCTTTTCTATCTTG